GTTCAACTGAGATCTATATCCAGTCAATAAACAAACATAGCGGTTCAACTGAGAGCTATATCTGGTCAATAAACAAACATAGCGGTTCAACTGAAATCCATATCCGGTTTATAAACAAACATAGCTGTTCTTAACTGAGATCTATATCCGGTTAATAAACAAACAGCGGTTCTTAATTGAGATCTATATCAGGTCAATAAACAAACAGCGGTTCTAATAATTGAGATCTATATCCGACTAATAAACAAATAAGATCGATGTCTGGCCAAAAATAAAATGGCGTACATACAATAGATCTTTTTCAGTCAAAAACAAATATGGCGGTTCTACAATGATCTTTATCCGGTCAAAAACAAATATGGCGGTTTTACTGTCTACAATAATCTATGTTAAAATTAAAATTAAATTATACATTAGTTCTTTAACTGGTCAAATTGGAATTCTTAAGGTATAAAAGAATGAAAAAGTATAAGTTTCAGGAAATCAGGAAATATTCCATCTTTTTCATATTTATTCTTTTATGAATTTAATTTTAAAGGAATACTTTAAAAAAGTAAATCTGAAATCTAAATTTATTCTGTAATAAGAGATGCCCTGGGATCATAGTAATATTCATCTATACATTTACCTCTCTCGATTTCCTTTCCCATTTGTACTCCCCTTCCCTCCCAATCTTGCCTTCATCCCCCCTTTTTACTTCCCCCCCTCTGTTGTAATGATATTATCCTATATTAAGGTGCTAGGTTTATATATCTATGTTCCAGTAGATTTAACTCAAACATTTACCACCAGTATCAAACACAAAACCAAACCAAACCAAACCGGTATCAAACATAAGACCAAACCAAACTAAACCAGTATCAAACACAAAACCAAACCAGTGTCAAACACAAAATAAAACAAAACCAGTATCAAAAACAAAGCCAAATCAAACAAAACCAGTATTAAACATAACACCAAGCATACAAGTACAACTAAACCATACCAATATCAAACACAAAACCAAACCAAACCAGTGTCAAACCAATACTAAGCCAAACCATACCAGTATCAAACACAAAACCAGTGTCAAACACAATACTAAGCCAGACCAAACCAGTATCAAACACAAAACCAAACCATGAACCAGTATCAAACACAAAACTAAACCAGCATCAAACCTCAGAATACATATACTATAGAATAACAGGTGGCACCTGTATTGGTATGACATTGTAAACATGTATTGGTATGTTATTGTGTACATGTAGTACACTGTTCTTGGAGGGATTTGTTTTGATCAGTTACATGATTTCTCAGTATAAACAAGCATGAGGATTGTTTAGTGTTAAATTGTTACACTGATCCAACATATAAGATAAGATTTCATTCTTTTTCTAAAGATGAAAAGTTAAAAAAAAAAACGTGGAGTAACTTCACAGGAAAGCCAGGTTTCTGGACTCCGACAAAATTTAGTGTTGTCTGTGCAAAACATGTTGAAAACAAATATGTTTCTGGACGAAAGTTAAGTTATAATGCTTTTCCCAGTCTCCATCTTCCCCACCAACCACATCAACAGGAACAGCTAGATAATGGAGAGGGTGAGTCTTGACATATTTACAGGGGCGGATACTGGATTTGGTTAATATTGTTTTAATTAATAATTTAATATAAATGTAATTTCATTCAACCCTATGAAGGCTGGCTCTGCTTTAAATTTATTAAGGGCCTAGTTGGGGCGACCCGCCCTACCCCCCTCCCCCCTTAAAAAGGCCTGAAATATGTTAAAAATAACATTTTTGTTGTTGTTGACAAATAAAAACATGTGACAACTGATTTTATATTTACTTATCAATGACTTTTCCGAAATGTAACTTTTATATACAGTGATAACCAGAAAACAATGAAATAGGAAGACGACATTATATCAGTACTTAAGTGTATTTGATCGCGTTAAAAAAGCAAATAGTTTTACCAGACACTTCAAAAATTACTTTTTTTGTGAAATGGGTCTTTTTACACTGCACAAATGCTGTGTTTCATGGTTAATGAACTTTTTAAAGTTAAACTTGATCCTCAAAATCTTCTTACTATTCCTGAGTTTTCTGGTTATCACTGTATGTTGCTTAACCCTATTCCTGCTGGGTGTGGGGGGGGGGTAAATTAGACCCCCTGTAGTTTTTTCTACATAACTCAAAAAAGTATTTGTCTGAGGCTGTTGAAATTTTCTGACTTTTCCTAAATACCCAAAGCCCTCCCTGCACATAGGAGTTATCACGATTCTAAACACTTTTAAATTAAAAGATATTGTTGTATTCCTTAAAATATGTTGAATTCTAGCAATTTCCCTTAATGTAGTATAAATCCATACTGCACCTATAGAGAACCCTAAATTATTTGTTTCGTAAACGAATTTTCCACAGAACAATGGGTGCTTCAATATCTTAATATCATCAGGAGGGTTTAAAATGAAAGTGTTTAAAAAATGTATTTTCATTCATATTTTTTAGACATTCTTCTGAGTCATGAATAGACTTCAACTGTTCCCTCTCGGAGTAATTCTGCTCTTCCTCAGAGAAGTTCTGCTCTTCCTCAGAGAAGTTCTTTTCTACCTCAATGTAGCTCTTTTCCTCCTGAGCCAGGTATTACTAGAAATTCATTAAAATGTTTGTTAAATAGTAAAAGAATTTTTATCCCCTATTTTTACTCACAATTTCATGATTTTGGATATTTAAGCGTGCATAAATATATCTTAGTATTTTTCTTCTATATTATTTTGACAATTAAAATTTGTGCTGAATTTTGCTTATTTTAGACATTGCAAGAAAAAAATTTGAAGAACAGACAACAGAAGAATTTTACACCTCTAGCTTTGAAGAAATTCCAGAAAATGGATTAATTGCTGTCGCAATTATCCAGCAATACAAAAAAGGAAGAATTAAGCTGTCTAACTACAGAAATGAAAAGTACAGCTTTGAGTTGACGAAATTTTCTCTAACTCTTCAAGAATATTCAAAAAAGCTTACAACTATGTCAGAGAAACCAATTCTGGAATCAGGCACAAAAATACTAAGCTAATACTGTTTAAAAATGAATAGCTTTCAAATTATCCATTTTAAATAGCTAATGAAATAAATAATTGAAAAAATTTTGCAAATTTTTTTGCTATTAAAAGTTTGGTAATTTCTTGTAGAAAGGGCTGTTTTGCATGGTATGGTCGATAATTACTTAAAATTTGAGGTTACACAGATAACAAGCATCTACTTATGTATTTGGCCAAGTACTGTGGTCATCTAAATGTGAAAAAATACATTTCTGTATTTTATTGTAAGTAATTATTTGAGGTTACACAGTTTGGCCTTGCTCGGGCCCGAAGGGAGGGGGAGGGGGCGGAAAAGTTACCCCAATTATTTCCATTTTGTTTTGGGTTTCTTTTTTACATTTTGAATGGTAGAAAACTATTTGAAACAGTTTTGAAAATACGTGTTTGATTAATTGAAGTAAAGATAAAAAGATAACAAGAGAAAGTTTGGATAGTGAATCTTCAAAATCCCCCCCAAAGATTACTGAACATCTGGTCATTTATGTATTGTACTGCATAACCCCCACAGTCCAACACTTCCCAAACCAAATGCTGCCACCTGTTATTCTACAGTATATATATTCTGAGCATCAAACACAAAACCAAATCAAACCAAACCAGTAACAAACACAAAAGCAAAGCAAATCAAACCAGTATCAAGCGCAAAACCAAATCAAGCCAAACCAGCATCATACACAAAACCAAGCCAAACCAGTATCAAACACAAAACCAAACCAAACCAGTGTCAAGCACAGAACTTTATCAAACCAAACCAGTATTAAGCAAAAAAACAAACTTAACCAGTTTCAGACACAAAACTAAACCGGTATCAAACACAAAACCAAACCAGTATCCAACACAAAGCCAAACCAAACCAAATCAGTATCAAACACAAAACCAAACCAAACCCGTATCAAACACAGAACCAAACCAGTACCAACCACAAAACCATACCAAACCAAACCAGTATTAAACACAAAACCAAACAAAACCAGTATCAAACACAAAACCAAACCAAACCAGTATCAAACACAGAACCAAACCAGTACCAACCACAAAACCATACGAAGCCAAACCAGTATTAAACACAAAACCAAACAAAACCAGTATCAAACACAAAACCAAACCAAACCAGTATCAAACACAGAACCAAACCAGTACTAACCACAAAACCATACCAAGCCAAACCAGTATTATACACAAAAAAAACAAAGCCAGTATCAAACACAAAACCAAACCAAAAGCCAAACCAAACCAATATCAACACACAAAACCAAACCAAACCAGTATCAAACACAGAACCAAACCAGTAACAACCACAGATCACATCTCAACCAGGACTAACACACTAGTTCTGAAGGACACACAGTCAAATGAAATTGCTACACAGGCAATTTCTCAACCAGGATTACCTCCCCGGTTCTAAAGGACACACAGTCCAAATCTTAACTCGTTTAATTCAATGAGGACCCAAGCTATCTTTCAAACTATAATCGATTTGATGCTAAATCAAGATCTCCGCTCGTATGTTTCAAAGAGAACCAAAGCTGTCTTCCAAGCTTATTTAGGCTTCTGATAATGTAATCAAAAGAAGAGTCTCAATCAACTAATTTTATTTAATAGCTTAGGTTACAAAGTTAACAGGAATTGACATAATACCCTACCAAGCGGAACTCATACCAAACGGAACTAAAATAAACCTTACCAAACCAAACTTAAATGTACCAAACCAAGCCGTGCTAACCTAAAGAAATACACAGTGGGAGTTAAGATGTCATTGCAGATTTGATAGCATTTACTTTCCGAGAATTCAGGTTTAAAGCGATTGAGCTTCTTACGAGAAACTCTGAAGATGAAAGGATGAATAGATGAATGGATGAATAGATGAATGGATGAATAGATGAATAAATGAACAAGTAAATAGATTAGTTGGTGAATAGATGAATAGATAGATAGATATATAAATAGGTAAATGAATAACTGAATAAAGGAATAAACGAATCGATTAATTTGTCAATAGATGAATAGGTAGTTAAATAACTGAATAAAATAATATACAAATAGATTAATTGGTGAATAGATAAATAGATAGATATATTAAAAGATAGATAGATTACCAGATAGGTAGATGAAGAGATGAATAAATGAATAGATGAATAGATAAATTAAAAGGTAGATAGATGGAAAAATTAATAAATATATAGATGAATAGCTGAATAGATAGATTAAAAGGTAGTTAGATGGATAAATTAATAGATAGATAGATGAATTGATGAATAGATGGAAAATATTTCTTCAAATTATTATTTCTCCTGCAGTATAATTTTCACATCAAGTGAATTCAATAAAAGTGATAAAAGATTTTCTCAAATTCTGTTGAAAAGATATTTGTTAGCTCCACTCATTGCCTCTCATAAATTTGTATCCTTACCAAAAACAGGAAAGATGAGAAAAATTTGATAATTCTTCAAATAATGCGCCACTGCGCCCAATCCTTCTGAAAATGCACCTTTGCGCCCAAAGACTTTTGACAGTTTTTAATGGACTTAAAGTGAAACTATGCTCTCGATACTCATCTTGCGGGCAGAAAAAGTTTTAAAAAAGGGCAACAACAACAAAATGGAAACAAAATTGTTATTGTGTTTATTCGTATGTATAATTGTGTAAAAAAAATTGTGAAACTATGCTCTGCAGAAATCAGATATCTTAAAAGGAATTGAGTCTTTGCCACAAACTCGGATTTTTAAATCCCAATTTCTTTAAAACCAAATATCGTAGACCGTAAATATTTCAAACTAAGAATTCTGGTGGATCAAACAATGTAAGTTTGAAATATGAAAGGTATGTATCATTTGGTTGTTGAGATTTTGGTACTATAAAATTGGAATTTGTGACAAAAACTCAATTCCTTTGTACTTTTAATGTGTACAGATTTTCAATTTTTATATATCCATTTATCCATTGATAAAGATATAAAGGCAGCAACGTAAATCATGAACGGAAACAATTCAAACCAAAACCACCATTGACCCGGGAGTTTTATTTTAAATTCAAGCCAATAGACGTGAAACACGACTTGACATGATGGAGGAGAAAATAAGATCGGCCTGGGCTAAAATCAAAATGGAAGTCAGTTATCAAGAAGGAAGATTTACTCGTTATACAGGACGGAGGAAAGGCGGAGATTCTGCTAGAGAGCTTCGGCTTTCCATCATACATTAGTATCATTTTATTTGTTCTTTTACTTGTTAATACATTTTTTCCTATACTGTAAATTTACTCATATCGTGTTCAGGCTTTATATTTCCTGTATTTCATGGTAACACTATACCCATGTATTTATTTACAATTCTCATTTGCTCATAATGGGCCAACCAATTAAAACAACCTACTCTGGTTAGGCAGGTCCAAACTACATAGTAAATTGTAATTTTTTATTTCTATATCATGTGCTTTGTAGTTGAATACGCAAATATGAAATGAATGAAATGACCACGCGGATTTTCCCGCCTTTTTTTAATACTTTTTTTTGTCGTAATATGCGTTTTAAAATAAATAAAAAATACGTTATACAGTGATACCCAGATAAACTTAAAATAGGAAGACGACTTTATAGCACTTAAGTGTATTTGATGACATTACAAAGCAAATAGTTTTACGTGGACTGTTATTTAATCACTAATTAAGTGAAATGAGTCTGTTTACACTGCACAATTGCTGTATCCCATGCTCATTGGACTATTTAAAGTCATACCTTGAGTCTAAAAGTCGTCTAATTCTATTCCAGAGTTTTCTGGTTATCACTCTAGACCAACACATGATTGAATTTAAGTAGAAGAAACCGAATGCATCTTGCTCTGGATAGTACATGACATCTTTTAAAACTTCGTATGAGCCAAAAAAGGAAGTCATCTTTATTTTTCTATTTTTAAATTCATAATTTTAAACTGTAGTTTCTCTATAAAAGTGAATTGCGGATTATTTCAGCTTATACAAAGAAGAAAATTATTAAATATATAAACTACGACAAATCTTCCTCATTGTTTCTCAGATAAAGGATTAAAGGGTATCTTAAACTATAAAATACCTTTACCTACAGTCCCTTTAAGAAAGTTTGTTTGTTCTAATGTGTGTGTGTATGTTCTTGAGTGTATGAATGTATCTGACCCGGTAGTATCCCCAGATCATAAAGTATGATTGAAAACTCTCTTACCGATTATGTGAATAAAAAATTTTTGCCCCTCCCCCCTAGGAGCTTCTAGAGAAGGCAACATTTGGCTTCTAGGATACTTTAAAGGTACAAAATACACATACAGTCCAATTACCTGACATATATACAAGTACTACTTTATCTCTCCATCAAACAAAAACTAGCAGAAAAAAAACAGCAAACTAATTTTTTATGTTCTTCACTCTTCAGTTTCAGATTTTAAAAGTGTGATAGCTCTGAGTTCTAGGTGTGGGCTACGCCCCCCCCTTTACAGGTTTAGGTGGGACACTTTCCCCTTGCCCCCCCCCTTTAAACGCCCTGGGGTGGCAGGATGGATAGAAGGGAAGAGGAGGGGAAAGATTAGAAAGGAGAAACGAATAAGAGAATGAGGAGAGGGGGGAGTAGAAGAGGGGATGGGTGGTTGGGGGAAGTGATTAAATCACAGGAAAAGGAAAGTATTAGCCAATGTGATTGAGGGGGTGGGGTGGGGGGCTTGATAGAAAGAGATAAAAAAATAGCTGAGAAGACTTAGAATTGTAAAGGGGGAAATGAAATAGTAAAAAAAAGAAACACAGTGTAATCTTGCCAGGCTACATTTGTTGCTTAAAACGTGCCAGATCGACTTTACGCTGGGTAGTTTAGACTGGACGGTACGATTGAATGCATATATTGTAGTTTCGGCTCGGATTATGCAACTTTTAGAGTGCAGGGTGAACAAGGAAAAAAGGGAGGAAGGAGGGAAGGATTGAGGACTCCTCCCTCTTCCTATGTTGCCCCATGTTGCATCTAAGTATTGGATTGTCAAACGCTTTTAAAGGTCTAAATGCAACCGGCTTCATATATATTAATATATTAA